CTACTACTTACAAAATAACACCCTCAATGAAAACAATAACTACTACTTACAAAGTAATACCCTCTATGAAAACAATAACTACTACTTACAAAGTAATACCCTCAATGAAACCAATAACTGCTACTTACAAAGTAACACCCTCAATGAAACCAATAACTGCTACTTACAAAGTAACACCCTCAATGAAAACAGTGGCTACTACTTACAAAGTAACACCCTCAATGAAAACAATAACTGCTACTTACAAAGTAACACCCTCTATGAAACCAATGGCTACTACTTACAAAGTAACATTTACTTATGAAGGTGACTGTTTTTATCAACAGCCATAATGAATTCTAAAAATGACCATTGCTTACTTCACTTTTTACTTTTAGTTACTCTCTTATAAAACACTCGAGTAATGTTTACTAAGTTTGTTTTTTATATATGTAGTTTTTTTTAAATGTAAAGATATGAACAATCTCATGAAGAAGACATTTCATTCAACACTACCACCTGGTGTTACCTGGGTTTCCGAACCTCGACTACTTTCTTTGTCAGATCCAACACGAGGTGCGGCCTTTTCTCGAAAGGTAAGTTTTTCAGATTTTATCCTCACGTCTCCACCACCAGGCTTATGTTGAATGTTATTCAGTGACCCAATCCTGGGCGTGGCTTTCCACTCAGGTTTGTGATGTTCGATCTGAAAAAGATTTACTCAACAATCAACACGGAATGTGTCGCCATTAACAATTAATGTGTCACTGTTGGTTTTAAATAAACTAGACTGAAATCAAATAAACAATACCGTATGTGGCCGTTAATTAAAATAAGGCCTTACTTTATTGGTTCCATTGGCTGGTAAACAGTTCCAACAGGCGAATTAAACCTTTTTTCATGTGTAAATGAGCATATATACCTTGCGTTAATTCAGCTTTGACTTTATTCTTAGATTAAATACTCATGTTCGTTATTTTCTCAAAATATTATGAATCTTCAAATCATCAAAACCCCGGAATCGCCCAACTTGTCAACCTTATTAAAACGTTTTTTTTAGGAGAAAAACGTAAATAAAAACATATATCCTTGTATATCAAGTGAATGTTTAATTACACGCACCCATATATAATGTGTTACAAAAAACGTTTTGTTTGCCCGATTAGATGTCTTTTGTATCGTGTAAAATAAATGATTTTAGTTTCGTAAAGTCTTTGAAACTGGTAATATTTGTTCTTCCAACTTAATAACCTTTCAATAGTTGGTTACACAAATCATAGTTCTAGAAAGTACCACTAGAGGTAGCTGGTTACACGAATCATGGTTTTAGAAAGTACCACTAGAGGTAGCTAGTTACACGAATCATAGTTTTAGAAAGTACCACTAGAGGTAGCTAGTTACACGAATCATAGTTCTAAAATATACCGCTAGAGATGACTAGCTACATGAATAATAGTTTTAGCAAGTACCACTAGAGGTAGCTAATTACGCGAATCATAGATCTAGAAAGTACCGCTAGAGATGACTAGCTACACGAATAATAGTTTTAGAAAGTACCACTACAGGTAGCTAGTTACACGAATCATAGTTTTAGAAAGTACCGCTAGAGGTGGCTAGTTACACAAATCATAGTTTTAGAAAGCCCTTACCAACATTTAGAGGGTTTGAAGTGTACCTTTACCAACATTTAGAGGGTTTGAAGTGTACCTTTACTAAGACTCAATAATTACTTTACCATTACTTCCAACCTGAGTGTCTGGCCATTTAAATAATAAAATAGAACAGTGTATCAATCCTTCTAGAAGTTTGGTAATCATAATGCTTTCCTCTAGCAGAAATGTAAGATTTTCTTCTCCATTATGAAGCATAATGTTCTTCTGGAACAAAGGTATTAAAACTTCTTCTCCAGCTTGAAAAGCACAACCAGACATCGATTTATTTCTCAGATCCTTTACTGGATTGGTTTAATAGTTTGAATGTTTCCAGATCATTACGAAGAAGCTAGACTGGAGCGCGGAATCCAAAGTTGGTTCTCTAGAAAAAACATCCTACAAACCAGGGGGCAGTGCAAAGAAGATTCAAACTCAGAAACTAGAGTGGAAGGCCCAATCCAAAGTGGGGAGCAAAGAAAATATAAAATACTCACCAGGTGGAGGAAAAGTAAAGGTAGGCCTCCAGTGCTGTTACACTTCAAACCCTCTAAATGTTGGTAAAGGTACACTTCAAACCCTCTAAATATTAGTAAAGATACACTTCAAACCCTCTAAATGTTGGTAAAGGTACACTTCAAACCCTCTAAATGTTAGTAAAGATACACTTCAAACCCTCTAAATGTTGGTAAAGGTACACTTTAAACCCTCTAAATGTTAGTAAA